ATTTAGTCATATATATATATATATATATATATTGCTTTACCATGATGCGATCAAAATATTAAATAACTTGTTTTACTTGTCATGCTAACTCTTCATTGTAAAGTTAGTTGTTTATTTTGTTAAAACTTAACGAACATTGCTATCTTAAAGACTACAGGCTTTTAAATCTAAGCAAATTATATTTATATTTTCATGGATAAGAATATAGTCGTAGAAAATTTAGTTTTTTTAACCTAAAATGGATTTTTTCAAAAAGGCTTAAACTGCCTAAGAAGAGCTTAAGACGTACCCTCTTCACCTGAAGGTTCTTCTAGCATAAAATTCACTTTATTTTTACAGTTATGTTTCATCTTTCACTTTATCATCTATAGTTCCTTCCTCTAATTTCTCTCATTATTTAGAGTGATAAAAGAATTCATATCATGGGACCAAAATTAATCTTCCATGACTAGCTTAAAAATCTAATCCAAATGTTTGATTCATTAGACCTTAGGATTAATAAAAGTAATATTAAGACTAAGGAAGTATTTGAGGACAATAAAGCACAAATGTAAGATTTGAAAGATCAAATTCAAGCTATCATAAAACATATTTAAAATAATAAACACCCTTTCATACTTTTGACCTATATTTATGTTATGTCATTAAAAGATGATGATTCTTACATAGAGCTAGGAGAAGACCAATTCAGTAGGGCACAACCTAATCCTAGAAAAGAATGTAGAAGAGACCGTTATTATAAGAATATTGATGACTTCAATTAGACCTCTCTAGAATAGCTGAAGTTTTTTCTTATGATGACATTCTTATAGGTTCTTATATTGGTTAATTCAAATAATGATTTTTTCTTAATGAAATTGATTGGGCATGTTAAGATTTATTAGAATAACACCTTAGATAAAGAGCAAAGATTGGAAAATATTGTTCTTACTTGGATTGAAATGAAGGAGATGTTAGTAATTAAATAGTTTTAGGCGTCATGATTATAAATTACAAGGGCAATTAAGGTCTTTAAGGCAAGAATGTTTCTCTAAAATTAAATACTGGAACACTTTTGAATACTTAATTATTAGGATCAATTGCAGTGCCATGATTGACAATTGACCAATAAATTTGTAATTAGACTTAAGGTGGATATCAGGAATGAAGTTGAGCTATTTAATCCCATACTCGAGAAGAGTCATTATATTCTGCATTATCGATAGAAAAAAAATCCATCTCTTTTTAAACAACAAGGACAAAAACTCTTGAGTTTCATCTCATTGATTTTTGTTAAACTCACTCCACCTACTTACCCAAATCATTTACCCAGAGCTCCTAATGATTGTGATTTTTAAAAATAATAAAAATGCAGTCTATTTCAAATGTCATAAAAAGGGTTTTATGCAAACCTAGAAGAAATTGAGCATCATGTGGATGAAGGCATAGAAGAAGTTTAAGATGACACATTTTTCTGATGATGTTCTTGAGTTCTTTAATGAGCCCCAATTTAATAGATGTTTAGATGTTACTAAAAATGCAATTAAGGATTGGAGAAGAAAGAATGTTTTTAGTATGTATATAGTTTGCAATAAGAGAAGATGTTGGTTAGTTTTAGATGAAGTGCAATGAATGTCAGTTTCAACACATATTATTATTAAAGTTAACGTCAAGTCTGAACTACATTCCGAACCTTTTCATGTTAGTTAGGGAAACCCATTCTTTTCCATTACATGTAGGTGTCTCGTTCCTATAAAAATTGATAGTGATGTTGATCAAATTTTGGTATGATGTTCTCCTCATGGAGATTGCTCACATCTTATTAGGTAGGCATTAGTTGTATGAAATATGATCTTTTATGATAATGAGAATACTTATTTTTAATGTTGTAAATTTAGCTCGAAGATTGATTTGAATTTTTGCTCGGATTGAGATCGGATTGAAATAAACGAGCCGAGCTAGGAGCCAAAATTTTGGATCGAATTTTTTTTGTCGTTAACAACTCTACTTATTTT